TATATATATATATATATATCGTATAACATAATATAATTTTTAATGATAATTTTATAGGAATTCGAATTATTGCCGACATTAGAGGAGCTGATACTTTGAATTATAAAAAAGGTGAAAAAGTTTTGAGATGTAAACTTGCAACAATGACTCGATTAATATCTATTTTCGGATGGAATGAAAATGATTGTTTAGCTGCAACTGTTGAGTTTTGATCTTTTTTTATTTTTAACATTGTACTGTTATCACATTAAAGGCTTCTCTCTCTCTTTTGCGGTTGCTTCAGAGGTTTCAGAATTGTCCTGGTTATGACATTAAACTGACCCTTATTGCCTTGTGAGTGATGTTGGATCGTCAAAGGCTAGGCCCACCGCTTATAACTGTGGTTGCGTAAGGAAGGGCGTCCTGCGTAAAAATTAGCCAAAAAATACTTAGTATCCGGCAGAAGAGGGTGCAAAGAATCTCCGGAGACCCAGTCCATGGGGTTGCGGTGCAAGGCCCTGTGGATGGTCTGGCTACTGGCACCCCACTCTATAGTGTTGCGGTGCAAGGCACTATGAATGGAAGGATTACTTGTAGACCAAGGGGTTGGAGGTTTGGTACCTGGAATGTAGGCACGTTGACAGGAAGGAGTTTGGAAGTGGTGGAGGAGTTGCAGAGGGGAATGGTTGACGTGGCTGCATTACAGGAGATCAGATGGAAGGGAGAGGGTACAAGGTTTGTGGGGGCTAAAGGTGGAAGGCATAAGTTGTGGTGGAAGGGAGATGATGGTACGGGAGGAGTTGGTGTGATGGTAAGAGAAGAGTTGGTGGAGAAGGTGTTGGAAGTGAGGCGGACAAGCAATGGTGTAATTGTGATGGTGATGGTGTTTGGAAAGGTAATAGTGAGGGTTATCAGGATATGCTCCGCAACAAAGTAGGAAGGAAGAGAGAAGGATAGGTTTTATGATGATGTTTCTGACGAGATTGGGCAAGCGGGGTTGGATGAGTTTGTGGTGTTGTTGGGTGATTTGAATGGTCATGTGGGGGCGGATGCAGACGGATAGGAAGGTGTACATGGGGGTGGGGATATGGTATACGGAATGAGGAAGGGCATAGAATGTTGGAGTTGGCGGATGCACATAGCATGGTGGTGGGGAATATCTGGTTTACAAGGGAACCAGCACGATTAATTACATATAGGTCAGGGAAGCATAGGTCAATGATAGATTATATATTGATAAGGGCGAAGCATAGAAAGTGTGTAAGGAATGTGAAGGCGATACCTGGTATG